GCATAATGACGTATCGCGATGTGTATCGTAAGATAGCTAAAACTTCTTTCGTGTTTCACACAAGACATTTTTGGTTAAATGATTAGTCAAATGACTTTTTCTAATTAAGTTTTTCTTTAAACTCGCTGAAATAATGTCTAATTTCAACACAAACTTAAATCACCACCATTACTAACTGTATCCATACAGTCGAGATAACCAAACATGGCTTTTTCCGTTCCTGTCCACATTAATTTTTTTTTCCACCGCACAGTCTGCTTTCCATTTTTAATAAATTCATGCAAGGTGCCTACACACATTCTCACTCTCCCTTTTTTTCCCTTCTCTCAGTCAGATCGAGTCTCTACAGGCTCGCTGTGTGTTTGCGTGCGTGTGTTCTCTCAGATGTAGGTCAGTAAAGCTCTGAGGATGTGAGTCACTCCAGCATGGATCTTCGGCGCAGCTCTGCACGCACAGAGACGCCGGCATGACAACGGTGTCCATCGGCAATGCCATAGCAACCACTCTCACCAAGCAGGGTAAAAATAGATGTACTGAATTCCTCCACAGCAGAGTTTCCCTCTCATATTCTCTCTCTCAGCATTTTCTCCATTACTCATGCGGCAATCTACACAATCATCTAGATACGCTCTTCAAGAGATGTTCTTCGCTGTTTGTGACATTTATTTCTACCTGGATAAATCACAAATATACAACACGCAACCAGCTGAAACACAGATATTGGTATCCTCACAAAAATATGACCACAGCTGTACAAGAATTAATGTGCACTGAAAATCATGAGGAAACTTTTATGCCCTAATCTGCAGCGCAGTGATTCCCATGTTTAGGTATGAAGAATAGGTTTCCACTTATAGCATTGCTGTCCTCCTCCCTACATTCCACGCCAACATCATTTTCCCTGGAAACATGTAATTGTTCTTTTCTAGTGACATCGTGTTATCTTTAGGTGTAGTTACCGTTAAGATAACATTGGTTAAATTGTCAATACAGTGCAGTATGTAAGCAAAATTTCTACTTATCAACCTGAAATGACATCCATCCCATTTAAGTCTAGAAAGCCAGGGAATTACTCACTCACTCACTCAGCGCAAAGTCCATTCACATGTCACACCTCTGCACATCTTTTAGAAAACGGCAAGGGAACATGAACTGACATACAGGTCATACAGGTTTGAAGCGACATGAGGGTAAGTATCAACAGAATTTTAATTTTTTGGCAAACTATACCCAAAATATGATTTTTTTTTTATTTATTTTTTATGAAATGATACTAAGAAACTAAAAATGCCAGTAGGTTGCGGTACATGTCTAAATGAGTAAGTCATTAAATTATTGAGTCAATTATTAATTAATTCATTCATTTGATTCTTTAAAATGTCCCTTTTAAGGAAAGTCTGTTTACTCGGCAGCCATATTTGCAACGCCTCAGGGCAGCTATTTCAGGCATCCAAGATCAAGTCATATCTACTTGAATAGGGGAATCCTGAAATCTCAAAAACTGCTAGCCGAGCTCACAATTAAATAACATATTTCAAATCTGCAACAAAATCTGACATGAACTGTCCCATAAATGCTTTTTCTTATGCTCCAATAGCGTTAAAAAAGCTAATTTGTCAGGCTAGACCAGCCAATGCGCAGTCCTAAGCGCAATGACTTTACCAATCAGCGATTGGCTCTTTTATTTCGAAGGCAGTATTTATTTTTTTAAGTATTCCGCCATATTGTGCGTTGCAGTTTCTCCAATTCAAGTAATAGGAGTGAACCGTCTCTCTATATCTATAGTCTGAGTAAATGGCTCTCTTTATAAATGGGCAATTGAATCATTGGTTCACCCGATGGATTCGTTCAAAAAGCAGATTCATTCAGAAACTAAACGAAACACCAGACAGTTTCCACTAACATGTTGATGGGTGTGGTTGGTGGTTGAAATGGTGATGATAGTGACAGAGCAAAAGTGGACAGGCTGGAATTCAAACGCTCTCACAGGGCGGGGATGACTGCAACACCGTAACCATGACGATCAGTCCATAAGCAACCATGGCCGACATTTAAAACCAGCCATGGCTTAGATGCACACACTGGGAAGTGAGGACCCAAACAAAAAACAAGTTTAGTCTAGTTTAGTGACAAAACATTTACATACTGTACAATCCAAACAAAAAAAAAGTTTAATTCGGATCAAATAATGCTCAAATAATGCACACAAGAGAGATGACACAGTTTAAGCAGAAACAAACTAACAGTACATTTGACGGTGGGGAATCGCTTACTATTGGTCCTACAGCCGTAAACACACACACACACACACACATATATATCAGGGTGACAGTAAAGTGATCAGATGGTTCAGTAGATGCAAGCAGTAAACACGTCTATTTAATGAGTTCTCTAAAATCCAAACAGAGCAGAGAGGTGTTTATATAAACAGTGCCAACACTTCACCCATAAAACAATGCACTGTCATTCCCAGAAACATCTGCACAAATTTTCCACACTGCATTCAATAAATAAGAGATATTAATGGGTCACATGTCTCGTCTGATTGGGTTGCAGAAATAAAAATAAAAAAATGCTTAAGGCAAATAAAAATTTTTTTTTAACTAGCCATATTATCACATATAGGTAAGACAAAGATAAAAAGCCTTAAATAACCCTTAAAAATGTAAATTCTGTCATTATTTAAGGCCCCGATATACTCACAGCGAAGTTCTTTTTCGTTGTTCGTCTTGGGGTAAAACAAAGTTCGAAATACGTGAGCCTCGAAATACTGTTATCGAACATCTGACGGCACCCAAACTGCTAAGAGCAGCGTTTAGGTGAATATGTAAATATGTGCTGCACGCTTTCCTCTCAATAACAAAATAAACAAACAACAAATATGAGAAAACAGCAAGCAATCTTTTTAATAAAAGCATCTGGTCATAGCAATATGGATAAGTTTTCACGAGCTCTGCAATTCGGCACTCTAAAGTCACGTCACGTTTATTTAGAGCACTTTATACAATAGATTAGCTTTACCGTAAACATGAAAAACAGTGTCAGTGTCTCGTTTCATCGGAAGTACAACTTCATTATCTACTAAAGCAGCTCTCCAGTGAGTTAATGTGTTCATTCATGGGTCAAGTCTGATCTCCACGGATTGAACAGGAGAAATTAAGAGGAAAAGATCCAGGTGAAAGAAGGCAGAGCCTCCGTGTACACCTATTTATTACGTAATCGCCATGAAAATTACCACAAAAAAAAAAAAAAAAAAGTTCTCGATGCACTATTATTGGTTTATGCATCATATACACATCTTTGGACATTGCATCTTAAAAATAGTGAAGACTTGTGTCTTCTGTTCAGACACAAATTGCCACTCCCCAGGCTCTAACCCATCCGAATGGCAAAGTACGATGCCACAAAAAAACAAAAAATTTAATAAAATAAAGCTCCATTTGACACTGTGTATGCTGGACTTTTTACTGAAACGTTTTCAAGCTAAACAAAAATAAATTGGGATGTGTTTTTCATTATCAATTATTGTTGTTATGTCCATGTACTCGTGGCCATCTCTTATCTCTGTGCCGATAATCACCAAGTAAAGGTCATTTTTGTTTCTTCCAGGACACTTTATTAGACCACACCCTGATTTCCCAGGGTTAGAGTCCCTTCTGTGGGCTTGCAGTCAACCTCAAGCCCCAGTGCCTGGATCTCACAAAAGCTCCCTTTGTTAGTGTGAATGTCCAGCAGTCTGCAGACAGGAAAATGTCTGAGCTGCTTTCCACTGGCAGGGCCTCACACCGCCACTGGCAGGGCCCCATGGCGCAGCTGGCAGGAGGCCCCACGGCGCAGCTGGCAGGAGGCCCCACGGTGAAGTTGCTGCGGCTGTTGGTCTGGTCTTTCAGAGGAACGGCGAGGAGCCAACCGCTGGCACTGACGCCAAGTGGGTCAGCCATGATCCCAGCCAGAAGGAGGCAGAGAGCACAGGAGAATGGAAGGAGGATTAGAGGCAAAATAAGGTGACTTCTAAAGATGTCAAAATTGTTCAATAAAACAGATTTGCTGGAAATTACAAAGAAAATCTTGGTCTGTTTGTGCAGGTGATAGATTGATTCACCTCTATGAGCATATGGACCAGCATACTAAGGAAAGCTAATGCCTCCAAAACAGAATCGGAAACAGGTTTCCCGAACATTTCCCCCATCTGCCATTGGTCGGTCAAAGAGATAGTCCCGCTCCAATCTCACACCATTGGTTGAGCAATGAAGTGTTGAGCTGGTTGTGATGCTCAAAAATGGCAATGATTTGATATTGTCACAAAGTTTACACTTTTCAGGTAGATCGACTAACAAATGTATTGTTAAATCAACTAAACAAAAATAGTAAAGGAATATTCCTAGTTTAGTACATTAATCAGCAGCATTTGAGGCATTATTTTGATTGCCCCAAAATAATTATCTTTTTTACAGAATTGATCAATCTTTGTTAATTTTAGTTAATAAAAATATTCATGTTTATGTTAGTTCACAGTGCATTAACTAATGTTAACAACAATGTATTAGTAAATGCGGAGCAAAAATGATGTAGAATGCTGTAGAAGTTTTAAAAAATTAAGGTTATAGTGAGGCACCTATAATGGAAGTGAATTGGGCCATTTTTCTGAAGGATTTCAATTTTAGAATTATATAATTTTAGAAATGCATTTACATACATAATATGTATATTTAGGCATTTTTTCACACTCCTAAATCATGTTAACTCCTATATCTTGTGCCTATACTTTTGAAAATAGTGAGTATTTTAATGTTTACGGATTGTCCCTTTTAAAAATAAGAAATATCTTTGCAACCAACTGAAATAAGTATGTTTAAATAGATGTACTAAAATTACGAAAACTTCAAATAAAATGAAAATGAAAACTGACAATATAAAAATAAAAGATACTTTAATCGTATATAAATACTAAAATAACATTATACATTGTGTGATTCAGGTTAAAGGCCTCACGTGTGTACCTGTTTGCTTCTGTATATTGTTATAGCCAAGCTCACGTGAGCCTCTCCCAGTCTAAAGGCGGCTGATTGTGTCCACAGGTCAAACGCAGACAAACATCCTATTTCCTCGCCCTTGCTCACCTGTTACGCCTGAATGACACACAAAAACTGCACAATCATGCAAATACATAAACAATAGGCATCAAGGGGAGCCGAACAATCCACTAATCATTTATAACTGCCATATTTAAGACATCAAAAATCAAGCAAAATAATGATTGATACACCAAAAAAAAACTACTAGCGCAATTTGTCAGCACAAACGCTTGAAAACATCATAAAGATTTACAAGCACCATATTTACAGTTGTAATATATTATGTTCTCCTCGGACTTTTCTCAGAATTAACTATAATATATAACTATGTACACACACACACACAATATAACATCTCATAAAAACACACACAAGATTTGAATGGAAAGAAAACTGCTTGATTCAGCTACTAGTTTTTTTTTTAAATGTTATTAATAATAAAACAACCACTCGCTGAATCAAGCAGTTGTATCTCCAGTCAAATCTTCAGAATTAGACGTTTCTCAAAAAAGCGACCTAGTTTCGGAAAATGGCTCCTCAAAGGAACACAATTTCAGAATTTCAGATAAATATGAAAGCAAAAACACAGGCAAAAGCATTCCTCATTTAAAAGTTGCTTTGAGTAAGAGCATCAACTAAATTAATCAAACGTTAAGTACTTCAATTAAAATGTGTAATTAAATGATTAATAATTAAATTATGCAAAAAGAGCAAAAGAATGTTAAATGCAAGTGAATATCTTAACTAATTGACATTTCAAAGTAGTATAACTTGGGGATCCAAGACTACTGAGCTTGATTAAAATGTTGTTTATCCATGTTTTTCCAAAACCAAAAAAACAATGTCAGTCTCCTGCTTAAGAGCTCTAAAATACTTATTTTATTCTTTACATGGAAATACACAAAGAGCAGAATGACAAAAATAAGACAGTGAACCACTACACTAAATCTGAACATTTACATTTACTCATACGGCTTTTACTTTCAGACCTTAAAGGGATAGTTCACCCAAAAATTGAAATTCTGTCATCATTTACTCACCCTCAAGTTGTTCCAAACTTGTATGAATTTCTTTCTTCTGCTGAACACAAAAGAAGACATTTTGAATTTTGGGAACCCCATTGCCTTCCATATTATTTTCTCAGAGGGAAAGAAATTCACACAGGTTTGGAACAACTTGAGGGCGAGTAAATGATGACCGAATTTTCATTTTTGGGTTAACTATCCCTTTAACAACTTCCAGTCGGAAGAGGACTAACTGGACGACAAAAATGTTACTCCACATTTTTGAGCAAATGTAACTGAATCATCTAAAATGTTTGGCCATTAATTGTTGCAGTCGCAACGGTACTTTTCTGAATGCAGCAGAACCCTATACTTTAAGCAGGTACAGTGTTGTATTCACATAATTTATCCTATTTTAAAAATCGGAAAAGGTAATGAACAACATTTCCTGAAGGGGCAGAGAATGTGTTTTTTCTTTTAAATAATAAAAAAAACGTTGTGTGAACTGGTTCTATAGGAATGTGATAAGCTCTTATTGTCCCCAATGCCCCGTTTTATTTATTTATTTATTTTCTATATCTACTACAGTCTTCTTTTAGCTATTAATTCAATTGTTAGTTGAAAATAATCTTTTGTGCTTTTAATTACCAAATATTTAGGAATATTTGCCAAATTTCTCATCAGTTTCCCGATAAAAATGAAGGGAAAGCCTTTGTTTTCCCGCACAGTGGTCAGAACCGTTCAGAGAACCATTAGCATACTGTATACCCAACCCAGGCTACACTTACATGATGTGTAAATATCCTGCAGGTCTTTAGTGGCCAGAATATAAAATTAGCATACAGCTGACAGGCTTGCCACATGCAGACATGAAGGGCTGTCGTCAGCAAAGCCATGCCATCCTTAGAGCTAAAATACAGTGTTGTGGCTTTAAAAACGACACGCTGCATTTTTATGGAGGTCAGGCGATTTCTGCTGAGTCATACGGCCTCTCCAATTCCTCACTTTTCCCTAGTGCACAATCACCCCTTTTCCTCTCAGTGAGAGAAAAACACAGAAATGAGTGTGACGTGAGGTGGGATGAAGCCTAGACACTGAGATCACGGGAAACTGTGTGTGTATGTGGGATCTCCAGGGAAGTTTTTTTTTTTTTCCTCAGTTACGAATCCCAACTCAGCACTGTAGCCTGCAGGAGCCACATCCATCCACATGAACATACAGAAGCAGTGCTTAGTGCAATACACATCACTTACAAATGCAAGCATGGCATATTCATGCAAATTACACGGCAGGTAAGAAAGAAAAAAACAGTCTACACGAACCAGCTGTGGGAAATTTGAATAATAATGAGAAAAGCATTCCCACTGCAGCAGCATGGGATGTAACTGGACCTTTACAATGTTTCCTTGTAAAGCATGTTGCTGAATTAAGTTTGTTAACCACAATGATTTCAGTTCTTTCATGAAGTTTGTAATGTAGGCAAGTTTGGTCTTTTTGACTGGGACACTCCAAAAAAAATACATTTTTTGCTGTATGTTCAATTTAACTTATTAAAATGGACGAATGCAATAATTCTTGCAGATTTTGTCACAGTTTTAAGTTAATTGTGTGCAATCAATTAAAATTTATACAATGGATGCAAACGGATATGCGTTTGCATTTGGACTATTCTCTATTGGCTATAACCAAATATTATTTTTTTTAAATGTAACATCATCCATATGTACTGAAGTTTACACTAAAAAAATGTTTTACACAAGTATATAATATTAATATTTATTTATTGATTTTATTTTTTTATGCCAGAGGAATGTTTGGTACTAATGATAAAGTTTGAGGTCAGTACGATTTTCTTTCAAGTAATCCATATTTTTATACAACAAGAATGCGTTAAATTGGTCAAATGTGACAGTAAAGACTTTAACATTGTTACAAAAGATTTAAATTTCAAATAAATGCTGTTCTTTCTAGCTTTCTATTAAATGTTCATTAAAGTATCCTTAAAAAGATCAGGGTTTCCACAAAAATACTAAGCAACTGTTTGCAACATACATTAGTGCTGTCGTGTCAATCGATTTTAAAAAAAAAACTAGATTAATCACACATTAAAAATAAAACTCTTTTGCTCTTCACTTCAGTTACAGAATGGTTGCCATTCTCGTTCAAAGCAGAACTGTGTATATCTAACCGAATAATACATCCTCCTTTCAAATCACTGTTATGCTCCATCTATCTCCAGTTCAGCCATTTGTAGTTTCATCTCTGGGGCTTGCAGGGTATTTAGCTATTAAAGTGAGTCAGACCCTCAGCAATATTGGAGTGCAGTCAACATGCAAATCACAACACTATCATAAGCACACACCCCGTCATATCATAATAACTAAATAAAGGTAGCACAAAATTACTAAGAAGCCATTCACACAGGACACGTGAACTCTTTCTACATACCATGGACGTGATGCAATGGCCAAAAACAACAATACATCGACTATTCTATGTTTATTCATTGTATAAAGTAATGTCTTTGAATTATCTTCATTTGGGGACTGTCAAACTGTTTTAAAAAGAATATTTCACCATTTTCCACCTTACCTTCTTTAGGTTGGAAAGGTTGCAGAAGGGCTCTTGTAGATTGTCATTGAGCGTTTTAATTCCAAACAAAGTAACTCCAATCCAATGGCAATGCCAATCCAACCCTGCAAAGGCAAAAAGAAATTGTTAAGCACTCTTTCCTTAAGGTGAGCTTACATCAGGTGTATCCACCTGACCTTTTTCTGACATTTAGAAATAAATAACTATATCAACAACAGCGAAAAGAAGAACAAAAGAAACTGTTTGAATGCATGTAACTTTAACCACAGCACACTCTCTGCGAGATTTTGGGTGTTTGTGCATGTTAGCTTTAAGAATATTTAAATGCGTCCTACTCCTATCACAATTTGCTGAATATTATTCCGCAGCGAAATGTTAACAAACCAGGTCACAGGTTATATATGCAGTGTGCTGCTGTGTAAGTGAACAGACCTTGTGTCTAGTTCTAAGAAAAGTCCTGCGTTCACCCGCAAGCTTCTCCACACGTCCCAGAAGTTCTGATTAGAGATGAAATCACAACTAAAACATCTGGGTCATTCTGAGTCTTCACACACACACACACAAATCATGGGGCTCCTGTTGCACTGAGAAATTACTGTCCCTCCATGCAAACATCTTGCTGTTACTCCTTTTGCCTCTAAGCATAAATTGAGTCCAACCCAAAAGGGAATTCATAGCGCTGAAGAACAAGAGCTGACAACTGGCTGGTAACACAGAAGGATCAGGTTCACTCCCAAGTACATTTATTCCTTTTTCAGTTTTATCCGAATACTACAACAAAATCCATTTGTCCTAGGGAGATGGTACCAAGGACAGACAAAAGCTGAGAGTAAATTGAACCCCCCCACCACCACCACGACCACGACCACGACCACAACCACGACCACGACCAAGGTCCCCAACAGTCTAGTGGGACATCAATTATAGTACTGTTAGTGGCACTGGATTAAAGTGTCTGGTGACTAAATATATCAGCAAACTGCCCTGTCAAAACACAGCTTGCCCGTTTTTAAATTAAGGGGTGACCTATAACAGTTTATCATTTAAAATAATGAAGACAAATAGCTTAGTCTTAGGAAGAGGTTTTTGGTTAGTGTGTTAAGGGCTCTCAATAGTCAGTTAATTAGCGATTGCTGCAAAGGCAAATATCACTGATATTACTGAATCCAGGAGTAAGCAAAAACTTTTTCTTTATCAGTACACCTGGGAATTTACCAGGTTTACACGATCAGCACTTTTGAGGATGAAATAATCACTAAATTTGCTAGATTACCAAATTTGTGGCATCAGAGTTTTGTTTGAAGCACTTACTAACAAGTTAACTTAGAGCTGCACGATTTGCGGCAAAAATCGAATTGTGATTTTTCTGATAAAAAATTATTGCGATTTAAAATGAGATTTAAAAACAAAAAAAGCTCCAGGTTTGCTGTGCTTGTTTGTAGGGCTGCTCAATTTGGACAAAAAAATTGTGATTATGTCTCAATAGCTAAGACCATCACGACTATATAATAATAATAATTTAAAAAAATTGAAATGAGAAAGTTTATCATTGTAATATTTCACTACAAAATAACAAATATAATAATACTAATACTTTACAGTACTACTGTAAAATAAAATATGTTTGGCTATCTTAATTTCTTACAAATTTCAAACATTAAACCATCTAACTTTTATTTTGGTGGAAAACAGCAGGGAGCCATTAAAGGTGTCCTATTATGCTTTTTCACTTTTTCAACTTTAGTTAGTCTGTAATGTTGCTGTTTGAGCATAAAAAAGATCTGCAAGGTTACAAAGCCCAAAGTCCACTCCAAAGGGAGATATTTTATTTAACAGAATCCACTTTCCAGAAACTACAACAAACGACTTGTTTGGACTACAACGTGATTTTTTCCGGATCTTATGAAGTCACAATGGTACTCATTTAAATAATCCCCGCCCATAGAATAAGCAAAAAGGGGGACAAGGCCTGGTTGAGCTGCATTAAGCCCCGTTCACACTACAAGCGATAAAGCGACACGATACCATTCATTTCAATGGGGAGCGGGCGATTTCCAGCGACAGCGACCGGTGGGGCGTGTCTGGCGACATGACAAAGTTGAGATCTGTTTAACTTTATGCAAATGCAGAGCGACTTTTGGGAGCGACAACCAATAGGAGTGAAGTCAGTGGAGCGCGTCACTCTTCAGTGCTGAGTCTGACCGAAGCAAGTTGAACGAGAAGGTCATTTTAGCAGTCAGAAACTGTCCTATAATTTATGATATGATATATCTCCGTGGACATACAGTGGTATTCACCGTACTGACTCCGATGGCTGAATGGTTTCGGGAACCCAGATAGACCGGTATTTACCCCTTTGCTGCAGTTAAATAGCCGCGATGGCAAAGAGCACTCGCTGTTTCTCGTTAATTTTTAATATTATGCATTTTATGTACTGATTCCATTTATATTTAGACTTTTCCTTCAAAAATATTTGTTTGTAGCGGCAAGAAAACGTTTGTTGTCTAACATAGAGTAACTTCCGTGAATGTCACTCACAAACATTACTAGGCAACCAACCAGTAGTGGGAACGCCCTCCATCGCAGCCACTGGCGACCTGCAGCGACAAAGTCACTTGTAGTGTGAACGGGGCTTTAGAGTGGCTATGTCAAAGAGACACTGCTTTTTCCACAACATTTCCAAAACCTTCCAAAGGCTGACAAACTTAGAGTGGTTAGAACTTATTCAAAACCCTGTTTCTGAACATTATAACCCCACCGGTTATCTGTGCGCTGCACTTTTAATGGAGAACAGCTTTTTTTCTGTTGCTTTTGTAAGCGCTCGCTTTTGTAAGACGGCTCACTGCTCCTTAGGAAAATTGACCATGTTTTTTTTACCGATTACGGTTTGTATTACCTTAGTTTTCCGACAAATATCATGATTAAATGGTGGATAACATCGTATCTATAATGTATAAGAAAATTACAAAAAACATACCGCTCTGAAACGTCCTGTGAAATCAGTGCTTGCAAAGTCTGTGCATGAAATCAGTTCTGGACGATCCTCTTGTTCGTTAACATTGTCAGGGTCTGAATAGGGCTTTAATTGGTTTGAAATTGACGCCATCCTCAATATTTACAGTACACTAGAGAAGAACTTGCAGTTATGGAGGGGCAGGACATTTCCCAAACACGGGATTTCGTCCTTCAGGAATTTATTGGATAGCAGTAAGTTGGGTGTTGCTAACTATGGAGGCTGATCTAAATGCCAGTTTGCAGTCAGTTCAGTTGTGGCGAATATTTAGTCCCACCCTCCGCCGAGACACGTCATAAAGAGAACAAAATTGAGGTGGAGGGGAGGTTCACTTTTTTAATGAAAGATTCCGAGTTCATCAAAAACAGGCGCCGACCAATGGCAACTGACGCAGACAGGGGTAACACTCTGATCCAACAAACATTGCCGTTGGCCGGCATCGATGCAGTGTGAATTAGCCTTTAAAGTTTCTCTTTTGTTGACAATAGTAGGTTTTTAAGGGCTTCTCATTACAATTATGGAAAGAAGGTTGTGTTCCAAATGCATGTTATAAGCGACCCAAACTCAGAGCAGATGCAGAGATGAGTTTGCTTGGAGCAGCATGTACTGCGAACAGAGACACTAAAACACCAGATAATAACTGTGTATTATTATACGTTTTTTTCCATGCCCATCAATTATTGTGGTACTACAATCTATTTTAGAAGCCACCCCATGTAAAAAAAATAACTGTTTGTTTGAACTTTAAAGTAGGCATTTCTTGACCAGAAAAAAAAAAAATAATGGCCTTTTGCCATTTAGTCATAATTAGTGACTACCTAGCAACCACTCGCAATACCTCAGAAACCACCTAGCAACACTGTAACAACAAGATGTATGGCCTAGGAAACCTCTGTGAACACATTAGCAATAGCTTAGCAACTACTGTGAAAGCGGTCAATAAAATATTTTAAAGCTATTCACTATGGCTTTAAGAAACAATGAGACATACATTTCTGTAAAGCTGCTTTGAAAGCTCTAGCCTATTTCGAAAAGCTCCATTCAAATAAACTTGATTTGACTGAAAATGTAAACATTTAGGCGACTTATAACCTATCTTTTTAAGTGAATTTTGAATTAAAGACTTTGCAATTCGCAATTGATTTTCACCTCATGAATTCCTAACATCAATATGTGTGAAAGCTAAATACTTGCAATATTCCCATAATAAAAAAATATTTTTTGTCTTCAAATGACAAAAAGCCAAACCCTAGCTGGGAAACCAACAATGGATAAAAACATGACTCATATTCCTCTGCAATATGCCATCTTTAATTTACAAGTGTATAGGCTTTGTGTGATGGATCCTTGCCAACTGGTTTACAACATTCAACTCCATGCAACTGATAATTCAAACAAATGCTCATAGGGAACCAAAAAAGCAGTCATACGTCAAATTTAGAGTGGCAAAGATAGAACTCCTTTATTGAGCCATTGCCATGATGGTAATTCAAATGTAACCAAGAAATAAAATTAAAAGGAAGAAATCATTGTGAAGACTGTTTTTAAATCTTCTAAATTGTTTTTTTAAAGCTAAAGTTTAAGGCGCTAAGTGGCAACAGACTGAATTATACTGAAGTTTAAACTAGGCTATTCCTTGTGTGCACTGGCCAGTTAAATAGACATTCCCGCCTTAAACTCACACCAATGGTGGAGTAAAATGGCCTTTCTGGCCACTTAAACTGCAGTTCTATTTGTGAATGAATCATCTTCTATGCATGAGTTGTATTTCTTACATTTTTTTACCATGTAATTTTAAACTAAAATATAACTATCTTGCAGACTATGACAGACAGTTTGGCCACATAAACCTGCCTTTCTTAGAATCAACTGCAAGCTCGCATTCAGATCTGTTAATGCCGGGGACACCCTTACCGACTAGCAGAAACATTCTAAGACTGAACTGAACACACTTACAGACTTTTCAACGACTGGATCAAGTTTTAAACACTGACTGTGAACACCGACTGAACGCAACTGTCTATGACTCGGCGCGTTTGGGCATGATCAGACGCAAGTATCAAATTACATTCATAATCGGCCTTACAGTCG